CTGGTGCGCTCACTCGCTGAGCGCGGTGCGGGCGACACCGAGCCAAGGGTTCTGATCCCCTAACCGGTCACAAAAAAAAGAAAAATTTGATATAAGTGAAAAAGTACTATTTGCAGGAATAAACTAAATCCATGTGTGACATTACAGTTGAGAGAGAGAGGGTTCAATGAGCAGGTAAGCAGACAAGTTGAGGAGAATATAAATATTTGCAAGCAAAACATGTAACTATGTCATAAAACTGATATTCCAAGATATTTTAAGTTGAGATATTATGGAGAGTCAGAGACCAGAAACAGTCAGGACCACAGAGGCAATAGACCAGGAAGTATTGAAACAAAGACAGAAACCACTGCAGACAGGAAATTATTGCATGCTGCTTACAGGAATAATGCCCATTGAAGGGCATTTTCTACTTTGGCCTGCCATGGGACTAAATTTTGTGAGCAGCATGGAGATAATGTACAGTCTTACTTGATGAGAATTACAAATATGATAAGATGAAATGTTACTAAGTAAAAATATTTTTAAAGTCTCACTTTGTATACTAAATTAGAAAAACTAAATTCATTAAAAATTACATAATTTCAAAACTGGAAGAGTGAATTGAAACCATGCTTATAGTATTATTTCATTACCTTCATGGTAAATGGAAACTAAACTTCTGAGAGTGGTTTAATGACTCTTCTGCTGTTATCATATCATTTCTTCTTACTAAAACTTAAAATATATTCCCTTACAATATAAGTACTATTAAGTTGTAATGCTACTGTTATGCTGAAAAAATGCATCTGAAAATTAGTAACTCATGTAAGGAAAATTAGTATCTTTGGAAAGAAGTTAAATGTGACATGACTCTATGAAGAAAGCTAAACAATGGAGCCCTGTTGTCAATTTAGGGATGAGTGCTCTGAGGGAAAAAACACCACTGAAGCAAAAACATGCTTCTGTGGTTGTAGATTTATATATGCTAGGAATATATTCCCCTTACTTCATTTTTATTCCTACAGAAAAATTCTCTTAGAATTATAAATATTGTGATTTATTCAAGTTCTTAAAGAATGTATTATCATAAAGAAAAATTGCCCTATATAGATGGAGTATTAATATGTTATAATTGGGAACTAAATCCCAAGTTGAAATTGAAAAAAATAATGCGAATTATTGAAGTTTTAAGAAGGTAAAGAGTAGACTCTGTGAGACAGACTAACAAAGGAAACATCAAAATTTAGTTTGAAGAGTCACAAGGGTTTATTCAAGAAAGTGATATTTATGCTCAGACTTGAAGAATGATTAGGAGTCCGTCAGGTGGAAGCACGGAGGGAAAGACATTCCAGACAAATGCCGTCAGCAGGAAAAAGCTTGCTGTACTTGAGAAACTGAATGCCTGGCTAAAAGGTGAGGAGGTATAGAGGCCAGATGATGCAGGGCTTTGTAGACTATGACAAGTATAGAGTGTTCAAGCACAAGGAGAAAAACTGTGGGTTGAAATTCTGGCTCTGCTAAGTGTATGGAATAGATTAAATTACTTGCCTCTCTTAGTTTCAATTTCTTCATTAGTAAAAAAGGAATATTAATAGGATTTCTCATGCAGGTTCTTGTGAGGATTAGTGAGATGAAATATGTACCTTGGTATTTTTAGAGGTTTTTTCCCTGCGTGAAATGAGATGCTATTGTAGGAATTTTAAGTGGCATTATCTACTTCATCTTTTTTAAAAGATCACTGCAGCTACTGCTGCTGTTTGAGAAGGTTTTGATGAGAATTAAAAGATTTTCAAGGCATTTTAAATAATGAGTAGCTTTTGGAGCTTGAGAGTAAAGGTCCCAATCACTTTCCATGTGAGAGAAAAATAAAAATCAGGTATAAGTTTGTCCAAAAAATTTTATTTGATTAAAGACTAGGAAGTGAAGAATGATTAGAGAATTAAATCAGGATGCCATCATTTTAATAATAGTGAGATTTTAAAAACTAAATGATTGATTCTTAATACTTAATTGGTTATAGCATACTAGTTAGTGCTTTAGACATGATACAGAAATGCAGAATTCCCAAACTAAGCTGACCCACTGTGACTTTTAAATGAGACCATATATGTAAGGCTAAAATATAAAGGAATGGGGTAAGCTAAGATTTTTTTTTTTTCTCCTTTTTTTTGTCTTTTTTACTGACCGGTAACGGGATCGCAACCCTCGGTGTCGCGCTCGTACCGGGGACCGGCAACGGGATCGCAACCGTCGGTGTTGCACCCGCACTGCGCTCAGCCAGTGAGCGGGAACCGGTCTCCACATGGGATCCGAACCCTCAGCGGGAGCGCCGCCGCGCTCCCAAGCAGCACACTCTCCAGTGCGCCACCGGGCCGGCCCGTAAGCTAAGATTTTTTTAATAGGACAGAAAAAGCAGTGCCACTAAAGAAACAATAAGTTGGACTTCATTAAAATTAAGAACTTAGCTTCATCAAAAACAGCATTAACAGAATGAAATATCACTGTACCCTTTAAGAAGGGCTAAAGTTAAAAGCACTGACAATACCACCCTGAGAGAGGACGAAGACCAACTAAAACTCTCATATGTTGCTGATGGGAGTATAAGTGGGTACAATCGATATGGAAAATTGTTTGCAGCATCTGCTAAATCTGAACATACATACACCCTATGGAGAAATTCTACTCTAGATATAAATACTTGGGTTCATCAAAAGACCCAAATAAGAATATTCATAGCAATAGCAAAGAATGGCTAAATAAGTTGTGGTATATGTATTTTACAGAATATTTCATAGTAATAAAAACAATGAACTACATACAACAACAGGGTGAATCTCATAAACCTGATGTTGAGTGAAATGAGCCAGACAGAAAGTTCAAAAATAGCCAATACTAATCTTGATAGATGTTAGATTAATAATTATTGGGGGAGGAGGAGAAAAAACAGAGAGGGAACACTGGAGAGTCTTCTAGGTTTCTGTATTTGTTCTGTATTTTGTTTTTACATTTTTGTGAATATTTTAGATGTGTGCACATTAAGTAATTTATAATATAATAATTAAAATGTAATTAATAGTATTTGAAATGTAAAGAACATAAAGACTTTTTATTTTATTTTATTTTTATTTTTATTTTATTTTATTTTATTTTTTCCTTTTTTTTGTCTTTTTTCGTGTCCGGCAACGGATCACAACCCTCAGTGTCGCGCCCGTACCGGACCGGGACCAGCAACGGGATCACAACCCTCCGTGCTGCGCCCACACCTCGCTCAGCCAGTGAGCGGGAACCAGTCTGTATGTGGGATCCGAACCCTCGGCGGGAGCGCCGCCGCCACCGGGCCGGCCCATAAAGACTTTTTTAAAAAGATTTTTCTCTTTGTTTCTTTTTAGTTTTTTTATTTCTTGCTTCTTTCAAGTAGATAAAGAGGGTGGGTTGAAGGAAATTGGAACTTGGTTTGAATGGTCAGGACACCAGGCCGGCCCCATAAAGACTTTTTTAAAAAGATTTTTCTCTTTGTTTCTTTTTAGTTTTTTTATTTCTTGCATCTTTCAAGTAGATAAAGAGGGTGGGTTGAAGGAAATTGGAACTTGGTTTGAATGGTCAGGATGCAGAAAGTGTGAGAGGACACAGAATAGGAAAATGGGCAAGATACAGAAGTCTTTAGGCATATGGGTTGGTAGAAAGTACTGAGAAGAAATGAAATAAGGTTAGTTAGACTAATAGCAATGTGAAAACCATGGAAAAAGATACTTTTTAAGACTTCACATCATTCTAATTTTTTTTGTAGTGACCAATTGACCACAGTTTAGCAATTGTCTCTACTCTTATGGACTAATTTGAATCCTGAAATGATTTTTTTTTTGGCATACTAACTGTCCTTGTTTCATGTCTGTCTTATTTCTATGTGACACCTTCTCCAAAGTGAGGACACTGTAAAGGCATTATAGGTAACTTTTAAAAAAGAAGAAATTTATAATTAGTTTGAACAGTTTTAAATAAAGTATCAGACTAGATATTAGGCCAGTGCTAAAGTTCACTTACTAGCTCTTTGCGGCTTTAGAATTATATTGCTTTCTTTCACATTATCAATCTGTATTATATCATTAGGTTGTTTTACTTTGAGTCTCCAATCGACATTTCCTTTGTATGCATATACTGAAATTATTTTATTTAATAAAAAAAGAACATCTCCCATGTGGATTTTAAATTTCCCTTATTAAATATTTATATTTTCAAAATGTCTTTATTTAATTGAGTGAGGTGCTTGGTGCCATTTCAAAATAACCTCAGGTGGTAGGTGTAATGACATATCAAAGATTTGACCTTTAGCATTTTAGGATTCTATTTGTTTGCGTTTTCTTCTGCATTCATTTAGTCTTAATTTATATGCTATTTCTCTGTATGATTTAATGAGTGGCTGTATTTGGCATAGATTCATTAATAAAATATATATATATGAGTATATACTATTTCTCTGCAATCTAACTAGTGATTTTTAACTTCATCTATATCTCAGCTGTGACAAGAAGAAAATGCTGTGTATAAAGCAGGTTGGTATTTGCACAAACCTCATTCATTCTCATTAAGTGCTTAGCAGAATAGACCCTGGATCTACTAAACTGATGCCCATTCTCTTATTTCTCACTTCCTTGCAGTCAGCTTATTACACTCTTTTATTTACCTTGAGATACTTTATTTTCCAATTCTCTGCTATTCCTTTTAAATAAAATTGAATGTAATATTTACACTGGTATAATTAACATTTTGCAGCATCTTTTTGTATGCTTTGGTAGCAATAATCATTTGTCTAGTTAGCTTACAGCCTAGAAGCAGAGAAACAGAATAATTATCAATTATAATATTGTGGCATAAAAATTATTTTTATTTACTCATTTAAGTATTTCTTTATTGATTTTTAGAAATAGAGATTCTAAATAGATACTTTTTGTTAAATAGAGCATTGATCAGTCAGCACATTATTTATGTTTAAATTATTTTTGTATTTTTTCAGTCTACACAAATCTTTATCTCAAGAAGAAAATCTAAAGGATCAGTTTAACCATACGCTCAGTACCTATGAAGAAGCTTTAAAAAACAGAGAGAAAATTGTTTCCATCACTCAACAACAAAATGAGGAACTGGCTACCCAACTGCAACAAGCTCTGACAGAGCTAGCAAACATGGAATTACAGCTTCGGCATGCTGTAGAGGCCTCCCAAGTGGCCAATGAAAAAGTTCAGAAGTGAGTAAAATGATTTTGCATTATTTCAAAAACATGAAACAAAACAAAAAATACTTTCTTTTGAGAACTGAACAATATATACTTACTGTTCATGCGATTAATAGTTTAAGACAGAAGTAAATTGAACCAAATGAACTTTTTTAGATTGCATATCATATCCATATTTGGGGTCAAAAGACATTTTCTTGGGAACATTATTACTATTTAGGGCAAACCGTTTTTATTTAATAACTGATCTTCATCGGTTCATGGAGGTCATACAATTTAAATCATTTCACACTCCCAAGTTAATAGGCAAAGTTATTAGCAAAGGGAAGAAGCAGTCAAGCTATCTGCTGTACTCATTTAGCTTCACAATAATCCTGCTTCAGTTGATATCATCTGTGACCTTGCAATCTGAGACTTCTAGGTGCACAGAATCCAGTACAGTGAAATTAATTTTCTTGTGTTGTTCTTCTGAAGTATTCAATACAGCTTTTCACAGTGCATAATTATATTTGTTTATTTAGGATGATCTTTGCATTTTTATTAAAATTTAAATAATGCTGCATAATCAATCAGTCCTTGTGACAGCTAGCAGAATGTTAACAAATAACTTACCAGGCAAAGAAGTCACTTGTTAATTTATGGGACTTGAACATTGTAGCAAAATTTTCTGAGGCAGCTTTAATGTAATAGAACTTGTCGTTTGTAACCTTCCGTATGTATTGTTAACAGCATTACATCATTCACATACCTAATCACCTTCACTTTCTAAGATATATCTTTTTTCTTAACAATTTTTTTTCAGTTTTACAGTATGAAATAGTGCTCACTTCAAGGCTTCTCTCTTCTCACTACTTCTCATTTGAAAATAAGTCATTTCAACTATTTCCCCAATATCCCTGAAATTATATTTTGACTGACAGTCTAAAGTCAGATAAATCTACAGTGAAGATCATTTTAAAACAGTTTAGAAATATTAATCTTTACTACCAGTGTACCTTGAAACTTTTGATTTATGCAAGTATTATATATTTCTGTAGGATTATAGATTAGGTTCATATTCAGTCAAAAACTATATCCATTTATTCACAAAGCACATTAACATTACATTCTAAGAACAACATGATATATATAGGTAGATCTCATTTCATTGTAAATCACAATCAGTAACTTTTGATAGTCAGGATCTGAATAGCCCTATTTGCTCAAAATCTATAATAATTACAAATTTCAAAGTTTTCTTTACATGTAATCTTTTAATCTCTATACATGACTGAAATTTCCTAAAATATTGTTCCCAGAGACCAATTAGATTTTTAAAAAATCTTTGAAAATGTTGTCAACCTTGTATATTTTGTTTTAGATCTCATCAACTATTATCATTGTTTTGTAAAAGAAAGAACTTTTGTACACCAAGAAGTAGAAATAAAATTATCTTAGATAATGCTTTAAATTGGATAATTTTAAACCATTTGACAAACAAATATCATCTTTATCTTGCACATTTAACCACAGTTCAAAACTTTTTAATGGAATGACACCAATGTGTGGAGCAGAGTTTAAGTACAACTATGTTGTTTACAAGAGTTAAATGTTAAATTTAAATTATAAATTTTTCATTACCAACAGTTGGTAATAAAAGATTTCCAACAGTAAGACATAGATGAAATATTACCAAACTTTCCTCTTCATATTCAATCTACTCTATTTCATTTTTAATAGCCATTAATCACATGAAGTATTACTTCATTGAAGTTAATGTGGACATCCATTTATTTTATTGGGTTTAAGAGGAAGGTTATCCTGTTAAAGGAAATCAACTTATATGGCTTTGTAAGATAATGTTAGTTCTCTTTACATAAACTGAAATTACTATTATCAGCAAATATTTTGGAAAATCTTTTGAAAATATGTCATTATCCAGCCAACTTAAAATTTAAACTAAAAAGGCCCACATTTTCTCTTTTCTCTTCACAAGCAAATTTCTTGAATAACTGATCTATATTCACTATGTCTAATTTTTCAATTTTCATTTACTCCTCTGCTACTCAACACACTATGGCTAGTTCTCATACTGAAATTGTTGTTCTTATGATCGCCAGTAATTTTCTAACTACTAAATTCATTGGCCCATTTCTAACTATGTTTTTATTATACAACACATGATCATGGTGAACATGAATTAAAATACTCATGTATCTTCAGGAATATAGCATAATGGTTTAAAAGCTCAGACTTTAGATTCAGAATGCTTAGGTGTATGAACTTGGACATTTTACTTTAAAATGCTGTGCGATGTGGAACATAATATGTGGACAGTAAAACTTCTACCTCCTAACATTGTTGTGAGCATTAGATAATACACGTGATGCTTTCAGAACAATGCATATTACATAATCTCTCATTCTCTTGGCATTTCACTGCATACCACACTATCTTTTTCCTCAGAAGGGCTCTGCCTTTTCCCCCCATAAGAACCTTATTCATTGTATGAGTGTCAGTGCAGCATAGAGAATAGAAGACAGGCTTTGTAGTCAGGTCAGACAGTCCTGGGTTTGAATCCCTGTTTTCCTACTAATTACCTGTGAGATTTGGGGCACATTACTTAACCTCTGTAAGCAAAATTTCTTCAGATAAAAACTCAAACAGTAATAATGGCTTCACAGGCAGGGTTCGTGTGAGGAATAAATTGGATAGCATGTGGAATGCCTAGTGTAGTGACAGTTACTATTATAAGCATTCTATAAAATATATTATTAGTATCATCATATTCATCAATTTAGCAAAGCCAGTTCAATTGCATCTTCTCTACAAAGTCTTCTCCAACTTCCTAGGAAATAAAATGTTTCTTCTGTGTGTTGTCCTAGTATTTTGTTTTTAAAAAGTGTATTATTAGAAGCTTTTTCAGACAGCAGTATTCTCACTTAGTCGAACCTTATAGCCTGTTGCTGTATACAGAGTTATTGTGTTATTTATCTATAACTGTGTCCTTCCTACTAGGATGTGAGTACCTTAAGAGTAGAAACCATGCCTTAGTCATTCTTGTATTCCTAAAAATTTACATGATACATCTCACCATTCACTTAGTACTTAATTAATGTTTTGTTTTGAAAACAGGGAGGGAGCTTATGTCCTAAAGCCTGGGAATTACATAGATAATAAGATATAACCATATAATTACATAATATTATTTTAGGACTTATAAAGGTTAGCAGGCATGCCAATGACATATCCAGTCTTCTTTCAGGATATTTTCCTACTTAAACTCTCTTTATCATTTAATACTGTCCCACTCCTTCTTGAAGACCTTTGTTTTCTTGGGTTCTATGGAACCATTTTCTTCTACTTCTACTACTTTTCTGACTATTCCTACTCTGCTTTTTTAACGGAATATGTCTCCCAGCTATCCCTAAATAATGGTTTCTCTGAAGGTTTTAGTTTTCTTTTACCTCTACACAGTTCCTATGAATGTTATTCATTTCTGTGAGCTTCAACTACTACCAATTAGCCAAATAACTTTCAAATTTTTATCTTAATACTTGTCTGTCTCCTGAGATCCAATCTCATGTTCCCAAAACTCTATTCTTCACTCCTCTGAAAATAAAGTCCTCCCTGTTATTCTTTATTTTCTGTCTCAATTAACGGACTTTACCAACTTTAGTTCTGTCCTTGTTTCCTCACTCTTTTTTACCTTTTCCATTTACTTTGCCACCAATCTCTGTTTTATACATTGCCTAAATATCTCCTGCTTCCCTTCACCCCATCTTTATCATCTCTTGTCTAAACTGTTACAGTAATCATAAAACCAGTCTACCTGCCTTAGTTCTTTAGAGCTTTTCTTCTTCACTGTCACCAGCCTTAATCTTTCTAAAACATAAATCAGGTCAAATTACTTCTACATTTAAAATTTTTCAGAACATCCCTCTCTAAGCACTGGACAGATCATCTAGGCAACAAATCAACAGAGAAACACAGGATTTAAACTAGACTTTAGACCAACTGGACTTAGTGGATATCTACAGGACATTTCTTACAATAACTACAGAATATACATTCTTCTCATCATCGCATGGAACATTCTCCGGGATATACCACATTAGGTCACAAATCAAGTCTCAACAAATTTTTAAAAATTGAAATTATTTCACGTACCTTTTCAGGCCACAACAGATTAAAACTAGAAATCAATAAGCAAAACTCTGGGAACTATACAAATACATGAAAATTAAGTAACAGGCTCCTGATCAAACTATGGATTCAAGAAGAAATTAAACAGGAAATCAAAAATGTTCTTTGCAACTGATGAAAATACAGACACATCATACCAAAACCTGTGAGGTACTGCAAAAGTAGAGTTGGGTGTCTCCGGTGGCCGCACAGGACCCCAACAGGTTTTTCCTTTCCCTAGAGGGTTGGGGCCAAAGGGATTGCCTTTTTCTTCCCCCCAGGATGCAGGGCAAAAAGAGATTCCAAGAGATGGGTGAGCACGCTGCTGCTCTCCCAGATAGGGAACCAACACATACACATACACACGCAGCAGGGGTTCTGTCAGGCAGTTCCGTTTATTGTAACACAAACGATCATATTTATATGCTTAGCAGGCAGGGATTTCCAAGCTTAGGCCAATCCTTGAAAAGGTCAAATGTTCACATGCCTTGCCTCTCTATGCTTAACCCTCCCCCTTAACTTCCCTTGGGCGCCACCTTTTATCCATTTAGGCCATCTGTTACTTTTGCTTAGAAAAAGGGCACGGTCCCATAAAGTAGTATTAACAGAAGTTATTGCAATAAACACTTATATCAAAAGAATAGAAAGATTTTCAATGAACAACCAAATGCTACACCTCAAAGTACTAGAAAAAGAAGAACAATCCAATCCCAAAATTAGTAGACAGAATGAAATAATTAAGATCAGAGCAAAACTAAGTGAAATAGAAACCCCCAAATGGCTCAAAAGATCAATGAAACAAAAAGTTGGTTTTTTGAGAAGATAAACAAAATAGACAAACCATTAGC